GGCAGATCCGGTGCCACCGCACTGCCATTTTGTTGTGAGAGAGGGATGATGATAACTTCCTCAATGGCTCAAGGGGGCGATTCTTTCAAAAAGGCTAAGAACCACTGCCCTAAGTAACCCATTATGGAATGGAAAGGGCATGTTACAATATGTAATGACAATGGAATAACCATCTCTGGATCTGGAAATATGATCATGGGATATATATTTCTTTATCCAGCATGTTGTTAGTCTGTGGAACTCCTTGCTACAGGATGTGGTGACGGCATCTGGCCTAGAGGCCTTTAAAAGGGGATGGGACAGATTCCTGGAGGAAACATCCATTGCAAGAGACAGTTATATCTGGTGGTCTCAGGTGCTCCCCCCCTCCTAGTGTGGGGCCCAGTGAGATACAGGAAGCTGGACTAGAGAGGCCCTTGGTCTGATCCAGCAGGGCTCTTCTTACGTTCTTACTGTATATATAAGTGGGATAGAAAAATGATTTCCAGAAATTGTAAAATGCATGGGTTTCGTACAGCATGGGGGAATGTTCCCTATGTCTTGTGTTTTGTTGTGTTCCTTGTTTTCTGTTCATATGGAATGTAGGCACCATGCATGTCCATCGTCTCTTATTTCCCCATTGCTGAACTCACCTGACTTGAATCATTCCGTCTCTCTCTAAATCTCTCTGCTACATGGCAGATACTTCCTGTAAAAAAAAAAAAAATTTGGTCTCTGTGGAGCATTCACTTTAAGAGAATAATGCACCAATTCCAAGCAGTTTTAGAAGGGTACCTCTCGGGCTTCTGGCAAGAGCTATGTCGGATCACTTCTGGACAGAGACTTTTTACAGAGCCACTGGGTGTTTGTTGCTAGATCATCTCCCTTCCACAAAGCATAAATGCCTCTCAACCAATCATTAAGTGCCTCCAATTGGTCCAGAGTCCAACCTTCCACTCCTGGACCCCTTTTGTCATCTTATGCTGTGCCCAAAGTACAATAGTGTCTAGACATTTTTAATTCCAGAAGGGCGTTTAGACTGAGTTGGATCCAGCACTCATTCACTTCCCTTTCTGTCACTCTTCTTTCCACCCCTGGACCCCTCTAGATTGGGGGGGGGCACATTGCGTACCAAAAAAAGCACAGAAATTGCAAATAAATAAATACACAGTTGCTGGAAGTACACTTCCAGGTTTTTTTAAAAGTTTTTTACTTACTTACTTACTTACTTACTTACTTACTTACTTACTTACTTACTTACTTACTTACTTACTTACTTGCTTGCTTGCTTGCTTGCTTGCTTGCTTGCTTGCTTACTTACTTACTTACTTACTTACTTACTTACTTACTTACTTACTTACTTACTTACTTACTTACAAGTTTTTCAGTCCGTGCCATTACCAGTGGTCTCTGAGCAGCGTACAACAATATTAAAACTTTAAAAACATTAAAGCCATAAAAAAATAGGTAATATTATAATAATACCCTATATTTTTTAAAAAAATCACAAAAACATTAATATTAATAAATCCTGCCGCTCATATGGCCAGCTAAAGAATACTATTTAATTAAAATGCAGGCTAAACAGAAAGGTCTTTGCCTGGCAGCGAAAAGCCAAAAGTGTTGGAGCCAGGCAGATCTCTATAGGGAGGGCCTTCCAAAGTTGCGGGGGGCAACAGCTGAGAAGGCCCCTCAACCCTTTCAGGGATGGCACCTGATATTCGGGGATAAACAATGCAAGAAGACCTATGGCCTACTTAAAAGATGAGGCATGACTTCCAGAACTCTCTAGGAACTGCCATCCAGCCCTCCCACCTCCCCAATTTTTTAAAAAAGCTCTGACTTTTATTTTAAAAAATTTAAAAATTAAAAAGTTGTCCTTCCTGTGCCATTTTAATTACTCCAAGATTCTGTTAATAACCCTGTACCATCAAGTTGATTCTGACTTATGGCGCCCCTTTTCCAGGGTTGTTTTTGTATTCCCTTCCTCTAGGGGGCGCCCTTGGGACCGTGCAGTTTGCCCAAGGCCACACAGGTTGGCTCGTCTCCCAGGAGGCCCAGTGGGGAATCGAACTCCCAGCCGGTGCCTAACTCACTGAGCTATCCAGCCAACCTTCTGTAACTGATACATGATGCATTTAGTCTATTAAACTTTTTTTGCATTCTCCTCCTAAAAGTCCTTGAATCTAATATTTCCTTCTCTCCCCACCTCTGTTTATATTTCTATATAGGGTGTTATGTGCCATCAAGCTACTTCTGATTTATGCATCAATGCCCTCCAGAAGGCCCTGTTGTTAAAAGCACTGCTCAGGTTCAGCCATTTTTAAGGCCCTATCTCCTTTTATTGAGTCAACTCATCTCCCATCCCCTCTTCTTTTCCTGCTGCCTTCATCTTTGACTACCCTTATTTTATTCCTTGGTGAGTCTTGTCACCTTACGCTGTGCCCGAAGTACAATAGCATCTATTACATCTTTTTTAAACTTCCAGAAGGGCGTTTAGGCTGGGTCGGATCCAGCGCTCCCTCACTTAACCTTTCTTTCGCTCTTCTTTCTTTACAGCAAGAAAAACAGCAGACGCCCAACAAGAGACCCTGGGAAGGAATGCGGAAAGTCCACTCTCCGCCAGCCTGGGTTAAAAAGGACACGGAGGGAGTTGCACATTCGCCTTTAGAACTCAAAACCGTGGAGTGGGAAAAGGCGGGGGCGACAATCCCCTTGGTGGGACAAGACATTATCGACCTCCAGACAGAGGTCTGAGGAGGGGAAAAAAAAAGAGGGAAAAAAAGAGACTCTTTGGACGTCCTTTCCCCACTGGAAAACAAAAGAAAAACAACATACAGACAGAAAAATAATTACGATGAAAAAAGAGCCAATGGAACGGGATCCAGGTGGAGACAGAAAAAAAGGCGTTGGTTTCTTTTCGAAACCTTCCAGTTAAAAGGAAGAAAAAAAAATATAGGGTGTTAACCTTTGTATCGTTCTCTGCCGAGAGTTGGGAGCACTATTAATTTGTAGAACATAGTAGCAGTAGGTACCGTATGAAACACGGTCTTTCCCTGGTAAGGCGGGAGGCCAAAGGGCGGTGGGGGGGAGGAAGCAGGCCAAAGCGGGGGGAGGAGAGGTAGGAAGGGCAGGACGAGGGGTTTTCAGACATTAAATCGGTGCCCAACCCTTCCTGGGGAAAAGCGTTGTTGAGGGTTTTGATCAAGAGGAGACCAATGGCCATGCTGGGTGGCCTCGGAGGTCCGGAACGAAAGCGTTTGACAAGTGGAAAGAGCAACCTTCCCAAAAAGAAAAACTTTCCGACACAGTGGGTGACCCTTGTTCGACTGGGCATCATCCATTGTAAGTTGGTTGTCGGCTGTGTGGTAGGAGGACATGAAAGATGCCTACAATGGTCTCCCTTCCACCCCCTCGTGACCAGCCGGAAGGAATCAGAAACTGAGATATTTTAACAAGAAGAAGCTTTGTCTTTGCTGGTTGGGTCCAGCGACCCTCGACGAGGCAGCTCCAGAGATAACCAACCGAGGCAGCCATGTCGATGGGCAGAGGAAACATCTTCTTCCGTACCAGATTTTATGAACTCTTCGACGGTGACAGCAAACGTGTGGCGTATGGACCCTGAAGAGAGCTCCGCTTAAGACAATTGAGTCCCGCTCAACCTCTCTCCAGAAAAACAGAAAAGACGATAAAGAACTTGAGTGGGTAGGGGAGTTTTTTTAAAAACAAATGAACAACAACAACAACAACAAAAGAATGTAGGTCATTATACTGACTGTTAGTAGATCATAGACAAATTCATGGTGGACCTTTTGTCCCAAAGGTTCACACGGCCTCATTCCCCCCCCCCTTTGCTTTCAAATGACTTGACAAAACGTTTTCCCCACACACACACTTTTGCTCATTCAGAATGGACAATTCCCAGTTAACGGAGCTGGAGAAGTTGAGGGTATTGCCTTAGGACTCGGGAGACAAACTGAAAAACTAAAACAACAAAAAACAAAAACAAGTAACATCCACTTGGGAAAAAAATCTATTTTTTTTTCTTCTTTTTCTTTTCTTCAATAAAAAGAGAACTTGAAACCCACAGGCTCTCTTTTCTTTAAGTTGTGTTATTCCAAAATCTTTCCTGTTTGTTTGTTCATGTAACCACTGGAGAAAGAGGATCCTAGCGATGTGTAAAAAAAAAGGTGAGTGGGCCAGCCGGTTGGGATATGGGGGGAGAGGATGTGCGGTGCAATTCATACGAAGTGGCACAACTCAATTTGTGCCCACCTCTAGTAGGAATATTGTATTGTGCTGAGGAAATTGCCTAAACCCACACGCAGACCCATGTTGTACCTTCCTTCTGAGATTGTCAAAAAGATGAGACACACCTCCTGTGGTCACTGAGAGCCACCCTGCCATGTTTTACATGGGGCTCAACTCTGTGACTCTAAGAGACATCAGTAACCCACACGCCCCTTGAGAATGGTTGTGTGGAAAAGAAGATAAATGTTAAAATTGACTGAGAAATATTGACGTTTTCCAGGAGGAAAAAAAAGAAGTCACTGACCTTTCTTTCAGAGACAATATGAAAATGTGAACTTGCTATTTACTAATATAATGGTCAGCAATAGAAAACTAAATGCAGGGTTTTGTGTTTTTTGTTTGTTTGATTTTTGTGTGTGTGTGTGTTTTTAGTATGTAAAGATCAGCAATTTTTACTGAAGCAAAAATTCAGGATCTTTTCTCCACAAATTTCAAAACCTTGTATATTTTCTGCTTTCCCAGCCTGTCTGCTTTATTTTATTGTTTTTCTCCAGAACAGAGGTTTGATATAATCTTGCTCTGCTTTTTTAACTTGTAAACCATCGTCGTCTATCATTGGTGGGAATTATCTGGGGGATAAGAGTCCCATATTTCGCTTTAAGAAAATGTATGTATTGTGAGGAAGTAACTGCAACCATCTTTTCCATCAAGTTCTGGATCGGATCCAGAAATATAGTCTGGGTCTCTTTTTTGCGCCCAGTGGCTGTCCTGTCTAGAAAAGCCGTATTCGGGTGTTATTTCAAGTGTCCTCCTCCATCATCATTTATGTTGTCCTCTCAGGAACGATGGTGACTTTGGTGGACGAGAGGCATTCATTCGTCTTTCGAGTCCCTCCACCCGACTGGTTTTTCTGGAGTTCCAATTTCCACAGCCTCCATAGGGATAGAAAGATAGCATCAGGATCACGGGGAGTGATAGAACCACTCTATACCACACTGGTGAGGTTCACACTTGGAGTGTTGTGTCCAGTTCTGGTCACCACAACACACACACACAAAAAGATGCCGAGGCCCTGGAAGGGGTGCAGAGAAGAGCAACAAAGGTGATAAGGGGACTGGAGACTAAATCCAATGAAGAATGACTAAAAGAACTAGGGATGTCTAGCTTAATGAAGACTAAGGGGAGACTTGATAGCCGTCTTCCAATATCTGAAGGGTTGCCACAGGGAAGAAGGCATCGATTGATTCTCCATTGCGCCTGAGGGTAGGACAAGGACCCATGGGTGCAAACGCGTCAGAGGGAGAGCCAACCTGGAAATAAGGAGGAATTTCCAGACGGTGAGAACCATGAAGCAGTGGAACCAGCTTGCCTCCCGATCTTGTGGGTGCCCCATGACTGGAGGTTTTCAAGAAAAGATGGGACAGCCATCTGTCCGGGATGGGAGGAGGTCTCCTGCCTTGGGCAGGGGGTTGGACTAGAAGACCTCCAAGGTCCCTTCCAACCCTACGACGGTTCTATGATTCTATGACCTTCTTGAAAAGAGGGTGATGAAACCAGATGTAGTGTAGGACAGGCCCAGTGTGTTTCCTCCTCATTCAACATGCTAGAAATAACATCTGAAGAAGGAAAGAGTCTGTTTCTGTCTTCACCATTGGACAGAGGAACTCTATGAGAGACCCCAAACCTAAAGATCTTCTCAGCCACCACCTTGGAAACAGGATGGATCTTTCTGAACAGTAAAGGTTTTGCCCTTTATCTCAGCATGAAACGTCTCCTAACTCCTATCCATAGACTCACCTTACTAGTCAGGTGCACTCCACTAGGTCTACAGAGTATGCTGATTTACTCAGTGGTTCCCAACTTTGGGTCCCCATATATTCTTCGACTACAACTCCCAGAAATCCTGGCCAGCACAGCTAGTGGTGAAGGCTTCTGGGAGTTGTAGTCCAAGAACATCTGGGGACTCAAGGTTGGGAACCACTGGTCTAGATCCTCATCCCTAACAGCAGGTACAGGGGGGTGGAATCTTATAGAAATCATTGCCCTCTCAATAGACATAATTTAAAGTCATATGGTATTTAGATGTCATAACACATGCACTCAATGAATTAGTACATCTCTCTCTAGGATTGCTTTTTTCCTCCAAATGCTTGCCACCCCAACCCCAGAATAATGACATGAGACAGCAAAATAGGATTAAATGCGGGCCACACTTTATTTAAAAATCTTATAGAAATCATTGCCTTCTCAATAGACATAGTTTGAAGTCTAATATATGGTATTTATTTTTTTTAATATATATTTTATTATTTTTTTCTACATATAAAAAAACACATACACAAAAAACAAAAACAATACAAATAAAATAAAAAACTAAGACAAAACAAAACCCCTCATATATAGGCAGGGGGTAGGCATTCCCATACTGTATTGTCCATTCTTAAAGGTCTGACTGCATCAACCTTATTACTCTAAAGAATTTAAAATATAATCCATCCTAAGGTTGTAGTAATTCTAATAATTATTTCTCTCACATCCTTGGCTATCAATTATTCCTCAAAATATTCATGCTACCATCATGAAGAATCCGTATTTCAACAATAAACCACACCATAAGAAAGACAAAACAAAGCAGAACAGCAAAATAATACATCTAACATTGACTACTTAATCATATACTTCATATGTGCTTAATGTCTTTATATAAATGCATTGATTGGTCTCACTATATTAGCTTCAGTTTACAGTCTATGAAAATATGTACTCCCTATCAGGATTTCACATGGTATCGATATTTCAGAGAATACAGTAAGTATGTTATATATAAATTTAATCATATTGCCATTCATGGGTGTTTTTTTTTTCTGTAAATCATTTCGTTTAGTCGTTTAGTCATGTCCAACTCTTCGTGACCCCCATGGACCAGAGCACGCCAGGCCCTCCTGTCTTCCACTGCCTCCCGGAGTTCTGTCAATTTCATGTTGGTTACTTTGCAGACACTGTCCAGCCATCTCATCCTCGGCCGTCCCCTTCTCCTCTTGCCTTCACACTTTCCCAACATCAAGGTTTTTTCCAAGGAGTCTTTTCTTCTCATGAGATGGCCAAAGTACTGGAGCCTCGGCTTCAGGATCTGTCCTTCCAGTGAGCACTCAGGGTTGATTTCCTTTAGAACTGATAGGTTTGTTCTCCTTGCAGTCCAGGGGATTCTCAAGAGCCTCCTCCAGCACCACAATTCAAAGGCATCAATTCTTCGGCAGTCTGCTTTCTTTATGGTCCAGCTCTCACTTCCATACATCACGACAGGAAAAACCATAGCTATGACTATTCGGACTTTTGTTGGCAAGGTGATGTCTCTGCTTTTCAAGATGCTGTCAAGATTTGTCATCCCTTTCCTCCCAAGAAGAAGGCG